TCATACCAAGCTCCTACTGAGACTGAGAGTGGCACAACTGCATCCAGCGTAAATGCTGGAGAAAGGAAAAAAAGCATCTTTGTAGCCTGGGAGGACAGACAGAGCAGTTCTCAGGGAGGGGGAATTCTTGCATGGAAATGGCAGGTTTTCCACTGATCTTTGCTTCCAATAAAAATGACTCAGCAAAGCCCAAGTCCAGGCTGTCACACCATTGCCCTAGGCTCACCTGAGGTCTGATACTACTCCAAGAGGCTTCCAGCTACCCAGGTTCAGCCTTACCAGCCCAACAGCAAGCCGTTCTCTCCAATCTCCTCCTCAATTTCACAGAACCCACCCCAAGCTGCCTCTACGGAAAGTAATCCCCATCTGGGTGAGAATCGGGCAGTTTGCAGCAGGCTGTGACCCCCGTGGCACTCACCACAGGCTTTGTGAAGAGCTGCAAACCATCAGAGAGCAGCAGGCACCGGCAGATCCACCGCCTCGGCATCTGCAGCATCGCCCCTCTGCCCGCACGGGACAGCGAGGACAGGTTGAGCGCTGCTGGCAGCGTTTGGCACGAGCCAGGAACTGACTGTAATTGCTGGCAGCAGCTCAGTTCCTCCGGCGCTCAAACACGAGCACTTGCAGAGGGTGCAACGCTCCCTCCCTCGGCAGCGAACGTTCTCCCGCCTGGAGCTGCTGCTGGCACAGGCAGCTGCGTGATGACAGATGAGTCAAGTGGTGAATGCAGACACAAAACTGTTGAGAAACGCTATTTGGGAAACACCTTGGTGTTAGCGGGGCAACCTTTGCTCGTGACCAACTCTAATTTCTACCTGCTGCGCTCGTGATCGTGGTAAAGCGCTCTGAGATGAAATGTTGGCAGTGGCAAATCCTCCAACAAAAAGCTCCACTTGTAAGGTTAAAATACTGGCCTCGAGGCACAGAGAGAGTCCACAGACCTGATGTAGGGACTAGACTGCAGCATCCTTCCAGAGTCAGCACCACATGCGCTGAGGGTCTGTCCCCTCTGTGCCCTGCTGTCAGGTCCATGCACCTTTCAGCAGGGCAGGTGTCTCATCCAGCGACACTTTTGTTCATGTATATCAACACATTGGTGACATGCCCAGGAGCACAGTAACTACCCCAAAGCCCTCAGCAGCTTTGCATCCAGTCAATCCATCAGCCAAGTCCCAAAGCAATATTAAAAGCCTCATCAGGGGTCCCCAAGCCACAATGGCCACCATTCTCCCCAGCCTTCTCGTCCCACTCTTGGGTGCTGGCATATATATGACCACACTCACTCCTGCAGGAAATCAACTCCTATTTTGCTTAAATAAGGCAGTCAGCACCTGGCTTATATCTATTTAATAACCTGAGCATCTGGTTTCAATACAGCAGGCAAGGAGCAACCATGGCATAATAAAAGTCATTTAGAGCTGCAATTAGCTCTGGGCCCCCAGTTGTATATTATAATAACTAAGTAGGTGCTGCTACATCTGTTGACAGATGCAGTGGGGGTCAATTCCACCCCAGCCCCTAAGAGACAACCTACATCTCCTCCTGTCCTCAGATCTCTGATGTTCTCTTGTGCCACATCCAATGTTATGCCTGTGCCGATGAGCCCTCTTGGTACTGCCAGTGCCACCACCACCCTTCTTGGCCGCAGCCCCGGGCTCACCGACGCCGTGCACTGCTGTGCCCTGGTGCTCCAAAGGACCAGGGATTGACTCCAACTGGAGCCGGACAGAGCCCTCGCACTGCTCACTGGCATTAATAAAAGACTTCAAGCCGAAACACAGAGTCACTGTTCTGCCAATTCGCAGCTCTGGAGAGGTCCCTTTAATCACCAGTGACAACAGAAGAGTCAAAATTTCCCATAAAATGAAGTTACTGAAAAACTAATTTAAAGAACTACCAAAGACAGCATTTTGTTGTGGTTGTCGCTATTTTTCTTTTGGGTTTTGTTTTGTTCTGGGTTTTTTCCCCCCCCCCCCCCCCTTTTTTTTTTTTTTTCTACAAGTACATTTTACAACACTTGGGTTTGCCTGTTTCCATTTTACTCTAGTTCATTACGGAGAAGCGACACTTCAACCCTTCACTAAACACATAATGCGTTTTCAACTATTTCTTATCATAAAATCATTAAATTCCTTGAAACTTTAATACCTCTGGCCATTTTGCTGCAGAAAGCTGTACTGCCAGAACATTTCCAAGATGACTTCAACATGAACTCTCACACATTCGAGCACATGTGCAAACACTTGCATGTGCAAAAGAAAAACAAAAATGTTTTCTCGGTCACCTCAGCTACCATTTCTGGCCCTCGAGGGATGATTTCAACTTTTTTCTCACCACAGAACTGCCTATAAATAACTCTGGTCTTTCACCTGCAGAACAAGAAAGCCGCTCCCCCAAGGGAGGAGGTGTAATAGTGAGAATGGTTTAACACAGAGGTATGAACAAGATCCCAGCCCTGGTAAATCCTCTACGCAGCCGGAAGAAGAAAGGTGGGTGTTTTTCTTTTCGCCATCCCCAGGCTGTGCAAGCACGTACAATTAACCCCTGTTTCAGCATCCTCTGCAGAGGCAGGGCTGGCCTCCGGTGAGCCTAGAGAGAAACTGGCACCTTACCCCACCCTTCGCCCTTTGCTGGGAATATGGGATTGCAGAGCAAACCAGTAACCCCGAGAAGCTTGGACGGTGGTTCACAGTACATCTTCCACCTCTGCCACTTGCTTCAGTACTCCCCTGCGACACCGTCCCAGTGTCAGCTACATACATGGATGCTATTAAACAGAAGCCATCAACGCCCCTGACAGATGGTGCCCCCGCAGCCCCCCGCCCAGGAGGCTGGATGCCAAGGGGGTGCAGGGGGACACTGCCCACAGCCCCCCCCCACCATCAGGAAAGACACAGCCCCAGCTGGGTCTCCCAACTATTTCTGTAGTCATCGCATCAGCAAGGAGGCAAGCACATGACATCACCGCATCCCTTTTTCCAGGATCCTGCGCAACAGACGAAAAAGCCAGAGAGAAGAGCTGGAAACCAAGTTTTATTTATTTCTTCCCGGTTCCATGGCTGGTGACCAAAGCCACGGGCTGGCAGGCGAGTCGCTGCTGAACACGGGGCTCGGGATGTGCCGTGTCTGTGCGTGCAAAGGCACAAGGGCTGCGAGTTACCCGGGGCTCAAAATCTCTTTATACATCCATAGAAAGAAGTAATTTCTCTTTTTTTGTTGCATTTTCTAATGCTTTACATTTTTTCCCTGCAGAGGCCCAACACCGTTTCCCAAAGCTTTCAGCTGACGAGTGGCACTGGTCCCACCTCAGCCAAAATCACATGAGCTGACAGCAGCCGTTGGGAGCAGCGCATGAGATGCAGCAGCAAATACTCCTGATTATTAGGTAAGTTCTTTATAACTTTAGCAAAGTTTTCCAGGGCAGATGGCTTCCTCAAGCAAGTTCAATTTTGATTTTGAAAAAATTGACAATTTTTTTTCCCACCATCATAAGGAGGAGACTTTGTTTCAAATGAACTAAATGTTGAAATGGCCTGAGACCAGTTGAGTCCCTGCAGAAGGGGAATCTGAAATTAGAAGGGAAGACCCATGCAGGAAGGGGTGTCTTTTGCTGTTTTCATGACAAAAATTCCCAACCATATTTGACAGAGTTAGAAACTCCTGAGAAATGGGAGGTCACAGCCCCAGCAGAGCCCGACCAGCAGGAGAGCACTCCAGGGATATGGACGTACATGGCTAAACTGGGCACCCTCCATCCCACCTCTTCAGAGCCCCCTGCTCCCATTTAGGTGTTCCCCTTACCAGTGCTCTTGCTGGAGGAGAAGTCACCTCTCAGGTATGCAGGCTGGCAGAGCCTTTGAGGTTTTATTGACCAATTTGAACCCCACCTTGTAAGGAATGGACCTTTTGTAGCAGAGGTGGGCGCACTGGTAGAGTTGGCTACAGGTTCTGTTGCACAAGTTGGAAGGTCTTAATGAAGGAAGGTGGCCATAGAGATGGCATTAGGATTCTACCTCTGTCAGCCAAAGAATAATGAAGTGATGCCTTTGCAAATGGTTTTAAGAAATCTGGCAATATTCCTCAGCACCTAGAGTCTGAGCTAGCATGCATCAGCAACTGGAGACCTTCAGTATATGCTTTCCAGTATCACTAAAGGCTAAGGACTCACTAAAAAAAAAAAAAAAATTACACGTCCCCCAGCAATTTTGATCTGAGGATCTCTGCTCATTTGTAAAAGTAAGAAAGGAGTAACAGTTTATCTTCCAAATGGCTGATCAGCTTTGCTGCTGCATCACTCTTCTTTTGACTCATGTGCATGAGAGCATCACATCCATATATACATACATAAAGCCAAGTAAATGTAACTTGAACAGACCTCACACCCAAAGGACAGGCAGGCCTGGGGAAAAGGGATAAAAGTACAAGTACACGCTCATTGTGAACTCCTCTCCCTTTTAGTCCGGGCTCCTTCAGCAGCACACAGCTTCAAGGAGAGGAGACACCGATTCACAGTGCGCTTTTCCTCCAGTCACCCAACGGGTGATGCAGATTCCCAGAGAGTCCCCAGAGGCCACCACCCTCAGCCAAATCCCCGGGACAGCCGCTGGCCCTCAGCAGCAACGCCCGCGGGGGTCACAAGCTGCAGGAGAGCAGAGAACGGTGCCCTGTGTGCGCGCCGGGCTGCGTGGGCGTGCTGGCATCCGCATCCCCACGCCGTGCCTCTGCGCGGCACCCTTCGTGGGGCACTTCCAAGAAGCAAAGCAGAAGCTAGTGATGTACCTGAAGCAAGTTCACTAGGAAGAGGTTACAGTTTCCTCCAGACCTGAGAGCAGACAAGCACAAAATGCACCACCTTTTGTGCATGTCTGCTTTCATTCAAATGGGGCTTTTAGCAGAAAAGTCAAAAAGTTAAATGCTGTTTTCAAGGGTGCATTAAACTACACATGCAAACACTTGAGGGCATCTTCTTTTTCTTTTCTTTGTTTCTCGCTGCAGACAGATCATTTCTTCTTGTTGGAACATGGCAGGGAGCTACGTGGTAGCACATAGAAGGGAGATTTTCTTGCAAAAATAACCCTATTGCAAACAGTTGGTGATGGCAAACTGCTCTCAGCCCCAGACCTTCCTACAGGGGCCTTCCCAGTCCCGGGAGTGCTGCTACCTCTGCTCAGCTCTGACAGCACTTGGGTTTTCTCCTCAAAACCAGCTTCTTGAGGCTCTCTGCTCGGCTCTGTCTCTGCTGGGAGGTTGGATGCAGCCTTCCTCCGCTCATCCTGCTCAACGAACATCTTGACGACGGGGGCCGTGTGAGTGGTGTAGGCAGGCCAGGGGTGATGGCACTGGATGAGGTGGCTGGGCAGACCCAGGTTGGCTGAGGGCAGCACATACTCTGGAACCCAAGAAACAGACACCATGAGAGCACAGCCAGCGACCTCCTGGCTTCTTCCCTCTCTGGGAAAGTTTAGCAAGAGGGATGCCTTTGGTGACACCAAGGATGCTCTTTGGAGCCAAAGACCATGGCTAGGATCAGTGATGGCTTTGCTATGGCCATGGAGGGCCAGGCAGCACTAAGGGACAGCAGTGCCACACCAGGTAGCTACTCTGCATCAAGATTCAGATAACCCGTGCAAGAAATACAGGTGTCCATCATTTCTAGCCTCTGTGCCTTTATTTCTATACTTGAGCACAGGGCGCACTGACCAAGGAGGAGCTGCAGAAGGTATTACATAAAGAAGCACAGTGGGAAAGAAAGAAAAAAAAAAAAGGGGGGAAAATATCAGCAGTTCTCATTTCCGCAGCACTGACCAATGGCCAAGATAGCACACAGCAGGACGAGACCACACTTAAGATCTTCCCAGTCTCAGTTTTCTGCCTTAAACCCCTCAATCACTCAAGTCTTGCACCTCAAACACAAAGCCACAAGGTTGGTAGAAATGGCTGGAGGGATTAGACTGAGCCTACTTGGGAAGATGTCTGTCCAAGGGAAGCTTCAAAGCAGAAAATCCAAGGAGAGGAAAAAAAAAAAAAAAAAATCACACAGAAAAGGAAGATGCATTCAAATAGATCTTGGAAAATATTATTGGTATTAGTATTTTTAGATACAAGGCTTTTCATAAAACTAGCTTGTTTTCACTCAGATGTCATTAGTCCTTTAAGAGTTACACAGCACAAAAGCAGAGTTTTCAGTCTCAAATATTTTACTTTTCACTAACTTTGCCTAATGCAACATTTAATTATGACTTCAGAGTGCTGGGCCATCTTGTCTAGACCATGCTTTTGCCAAGAAAGGTTGGACCGTATGATCCCTGGGGTCCCTTCCAACCTGGTATTCTATGATTCTATGACTAGATAGTCAAAGTAGTAAAATACAATCCTGCTTAGCACAAACAGATAGGATAAGACGGTAGGAAAGTCCTGCTGATAAAGGCTCCCTGAAGATTTGTTGCTGTCAAAGGGTTGAACTTCCACGCCGCAGCATATTTAAAACTGGTCTGTAGCAAGCTCCGAACAGCAGCCCGCATGCAAGAAAAGAATGAAGAACAGAGCTGGAGCAATCGTCCTGCAATCACGTTTTTGCTTAAGGTATCCATACTTAGAGTTTGAGAGTCCCTCACGCATGGTGAGCACAGAAGTCCTAAGGGGAGGAGGTGGGGTGACCCAGCTGCCCTCAGAAGAGGCAAGGACAAGGAGTGGCTGCTGTGGAGAGCAGCAGAGGCAGAACACGGTCCTATCAGAGAGCAAGGCTATTTGGTTTACAGATGTGGAAAGTCCAGTCCACAAAATGATGTTGAATCTTATTCCTTAGATGCTTTACGAACCATTTTACACATGAAGTAGAGGCCAAAAAATATTTGTCACCTCCACAGCCCTGTTCACCTGATGTCCCTGGAGAGCACAGCAGGCCTTGGTTAACCCTCCCCAAGCTCGGCTGAGCCAGGAGCACAGAGGAAGGTGCTGCTTCAGGTGGGATGTACAAGCCTGCCCACAACACACACAACTCCCCTCTTCCTAAATCAGTCAGGTGCAGGCAGAAAGCCTGGTCCTTACCTCTCGTTGTGCCCTATTTTATTTTCTTTTTTAAATCGGGAATAATTCTACCTCTTTTCTCCCCTTCTCTCCTGCAGAGTGTCAGTCCTTTGTGACCAAGCTATGTGTGTCAGGGAAACACCCAGAACAGAAACACACTGGGGTTTGTTAGGGCTCTGATTTTCAGCTGTGATACCCAGGGTCCTCACCAGAAAAGCATGCTGACCTTGGGCGTTCAGATGGGGACATGCAGGGACAGAGCTGCAAGCATCGCTCCCAAGGTTCCACCATGAGCTCCTGGCAGAAATCGAAAACAAAAAGCTCAGAGGTCCGAGTTTGAGAGATATGAGAGCATTTGAAGAAGCACGCTGGTTCAGATTATCTGTTGCTAAAGTTGTATGGACGGAAGAAGGGAGGAAAAATGTATTTTCAGTGGTTTCTGCCCTGAGCCACATCCCGCAGGCTCCCGAGACCCTGCACCACGGCCACTGCTCCTGCAGCCTCTGTCCGTGCTCCAGGTGGGCAAAGCCTTGGCACTTCGCTGTGACACCGGCTGTGCCCCACGCCCTGCCCCGGCCCTGAAAACACCCACGGGCACACACTGGGGCTTTGCTCCCTTCCCCTGCGTGAACCCTGCTCTCTAGAAGGAGCCAGCCGTCCTCCCCATCAGCACATCCCGCCAGGACAACCCCGGGAAGCACGAGCTGGCGGCCCGGCAGCAGGGTAGCGGCGTACGGGGATGACAGGCCAACACACAGCCCGGGCTCTTCCCGAAGTTTATAAATAGAAACAGCCTGACGTGTTTTCTGAAAAAAAGTTTCCATACCAAAAAAGTTTTGCTGCAGTCATATTGCTGTAAAGTTATGCCGTTCTGTACCTACGCTGTACACACACACAGCTTTACGATCAGGAAAAACCAAACCAAAAAAAGTCTGGTTTTAAATTATGAGCTTTCAGACAGTGGCACACTCTGTGCTTAAACGAAATGTTTATTTTGACAAGCTGAGATAGTCCATGTCTCTTCAAATGCTTGTCCTGACTCACTACTTGGAGTTTTTAACCCTTGTTACAGAACTGTTTTACAATTTAGCTCATCAGGTTAATGGGTAGCAAAATCTACTACAAGAGGGTTAAAAAAAATATCTTGTTAAAGGACAATTCAACTATTTTCCAAGGGTTTCTGATGACTAGGGAGTTCTGGGTCAGGCCGTGCTCCAGAGCACCGGGATGGATGTGGGGGCAGCCCCAGCCTCAGCAGAGGGGAGCAGCACGGCGGGAGCTGCTCCGAGCTGCCACCACAGAGGCCACGCGGGCACGACGGCAAGCAGGCATACGTGCCAGCTAAAGCACTGCAACCCGGTGGATAAAACAGCAGGATCAGGCACCAAACAGCACTAGCAAAGCACAAAAAGAGCTGATCTGGAGCCCTTTTCCCCACTTTTATAGGCTGCAGCTCAGGTCTTTGTAAAATGAATAAACATACCGAGTGAAACCCGGGCACCCAGCCACCACACGGGGCTGAGCTGTAAATTTAATTCAGTGGTAACAAAGCCCATGGAAAATGCCGTGCACCCCAGAGGTACAGCGAAACCCCCCTGGCCTGTTCCCAGACCAGACCCAAACAGATGAGAGATGGGTGCCAGGGGGTCGGGGACGGTGACAGCGAGGGTCACAGCCAAACCAGCAGCACCAGCTCCTAACAAAGCCAACACGAGCTTCACGTAGGTGAGGACCACGCAGTAAGGAGATGGTGAGCTGTTTCTGCATGTAGCCGTAAAACAAAATGTGCTGAACGTTTTGCAGAGCAAACAAAAAGATCCAGCTGAGTCCCTCACCCAAACAATCAATTGTGCAATGGAAAGGCAAGGAATGAGCACAATGAGGTGGTGGAATAGGGAAGGACAAGGGTTATGGTGCAGAGATGTGGCTCCAGCCCACACCTCTCACTCGCATGCCTGGTGTTTTCATTGGAACATTTACCTTTGCTGCATCAAGCCAGATGTTCCAGCTCAAAGAGTTCCTGATGGGAAGAGGCGAGCTAAGCTCACGAGTTCGGGGCAAGATGACACGTGCACGCATCAGGCGCGTCTCCTAATATTTCAGTGTTTGCACAGAATTATTTTGATCCCGGATAAATATGGATACTTATGTGATATTCATGTAGGCAGGGGTTTCAAAAGGGCCCTGGGCTCAGCTGTGTTGCCTAATTGCTACAGCAGTATCTCACAGGGCAATAAAAGGGGTTTAGAATTTCTTTAATGGTGAGGGGGGGGAAAAAAAAAAAAAAAAAAGCAGTGTGATGGACAGCAACCCCAGTTTAGATATTTGATGAGGTGACAGGATAAAGTTTGGATACTCACCAGGTGAATTTTCCTGTGTAGCTGTGGGTGCCTGGAGGCAAAGAACCTCAGATTAGGTCACAAGATCTGCCTTCCCAGTTACCCATGTTGGAGTGCTGAGACAGCGGCTGATGCAAATCCCAGACATTTCTCCTCTGACCTTATCTCTAGCCCTTCCCAAACCAGCAATGACAAGAGGAGCCTCAGGGAGAGAAGACACAAACATTATCCTGACCACAGAGCCTGGATGCATCAGCTTTTCCCTCCATTATGTCCCTTTGGAGGCCACCACAGAAGCGACTCCTTCACACCAAGTCCACAGCAACAGCATGACAGGACCCAGCCAGATGCCACAAGAGCACTGGGAGCTAAAGATGGGAATGCAAAGCTCTGGAGAGAGGATGCCAAGGGAAAGCCCAGAGCTGACAACATCTCAGAACAAAATGAGATGGGATCATCAGCCACCGTTTGTTATTTACAGCTCGTGCTTGGCTACTGGCCTGGAACTGATTTCAGAGCTCAGGGAGAAAAGACTCCACAACATCTCTGGGAATTCTCTCAGTATATCAGCTCCTTTGCTTCATAAGCGCCTGCTAGTGAGACCTGTCTCCAGGACTGTCCTGGTAAAGGCTTTCCAGACCAGAATTGGGTTGACTTCCCTTCCACTGCAGTGACAGAATTACTGCCTGCCACTTTTTTGCTTCTGCAAACCCTGTCTGGGGTTTCTCTGAAGCTGTCCACACCGAGATGTCTGCTCCTGAACTGCTCCAATGGGAAGTGCTCCAACACACCCCTCTCCCGTCCCAACGCCAGCTCAGGATCTCACCGGGCATGCACCGGGGAGCACCACGGTGGGATTTTCACATTCCCTCCAGACTGTGGTTTCCAGTGACAAGCCTGACCCTACCACAGTGCACCTTGATAACAGGGACCAGCTCAGCACCAGCTCTGGCCTGCCAGGCACCACCCGATGCAGCTGTGACCACGGCACACGTCTTCCACTGCCACAAGCCACCAGCGCAGC